GGGGATGTGGGAAGAGACTGAACATAAACTGTGCACCTATGGATGAGGACAATGGGGAGTGGGGAAAGGGCAGAGGGTGGGGTGAGAACCTGGTGGAGAGCAATGGTGGGGCGGGGGGGGGGGGGGAAGGAACATTTGTAATAATATGAACAATAAAAATTTATTAAAAAAAAAGAAAAGAGGTGGAGTTAGGATATAAGCTAGTTAGGAAACTTATAGAAAAACAAGTCCCTTTAAGATTTGATTTTGCAAGCCCCACACATTTGAAGATATATCAAGCATATTGAAGTGTATCCACGTCTCATTAAATATAATTCACAAATAACTATATAAGAAAAGAGCTAAATATTTAGCTGTGTTTGCCTAATTAGCAAAATGACAATCTACAATCGCTTAACCAAAACAGTGGAGCTAGATATATTCTGAAATGCAGAATCTTTCAGGTTTTAAAATAGCAATACAATATGATCTAGCAATTTTACTTCTGAATATACACCCTAAAGAACTGAAAACAGATACATGAAGAGACATATGTACGACCATGCTAGTAGCATCATTTTTCATAACTAGAGGCCCAATGCACAAAATTCATGCAGGGAGGATGGAGGGGAGGGTCCCTCAGCCTGGCCCGCGCCCTCTCATGACTTGTATCCATTGGGGGATGTCCACCTGCCGCCTTAGGTCCAATCCCCCCTGGGAATCAAACGAAATGTAATCCGACAGACATCCCTCTTGCAGTTCCCGGCTCTCACAGTCCAGGACCCCTCGCTCCTTACCACCCCTCTGCAGCGGAGGCAGGAAAGGCTTCTGGCTGAGCAGTGCCCCCCTCTGTGGGAACACACTGACCTGCATTGAGCACCTACCCCTTGGTGGTCAGTGGGTGTCATAGCAACCTGCCATTCTGCAGCTTGGTCAATTTCCATATTAGGGTTTTATTATATAGGTGAAAGCAACCCAAGTTTGCATCAACAAATAAATGGATTTTTAAAAAATGGGATATACACATACAATGAAATATTATTCATTATTCTGACCTTTAAAAGGTCATAAATTCAGATACATGCTACAACATGGATGAACAATGAAAAGAGGTCTATACCCTACATTATGATGAGATAGGCCAGTAACAAAAGGATAAGCACTGTATGATTCCATTAATGTGGAGTACTTAAAGTAGGCAAATTCAGAGCCCAAAGCAGAACGGTGGTAGCAGGGGTTGGGGGAGAGAGAAATGGAGAGTTATTGTTGAGTGAGCACAAAGTTCGGTCTTGCAAGATGAAAAGAGTTCCATGAATAGACTGTGGTTATGGTTGTGCAATATGTGAATGGCCTAGCTCAGTCTTTGGCCCCTTGAGTGTGGTGTTTCCACAAAATATCACGGCCTGGGCGAGTCTATTTTGAAGAAGTGACGTTAGAAGAAGTTTAAGTTTAAAAACAATTTGGCTCTCAAAAGAAATTTCAATCGTTGTACTGTTGACATTTGGCTCTGTTGGCTAATGAGTCTGCCAACCACTGGCCTAACTCTGCAGTTGAAAATGGTTAAAATTTGACCAGTTTTGTCTAAAGTACACATCTTCTGCTCGTCCTCTGAACTTAACAGCACTGTGACTGTTCTGATAGCTTTGATCACACTCCCCTTTATCTGATGATTCTGGCCTAAGCTCCTGGACAGTCCCCCTACCAAGTCTATTTCTCTTTCACTCAGGTAACAAAGGAATACAGGGTATGGCAAAAGTTGGTTTACAGTTCTGAGTACTCAAAACACAGATATTATTCCTGTGGTGTTATTTATTAAATTATTTTCCATACAAACAGCTGTAAATCTACTTTTGCCTCACCCTTTATATATTTAGCAGATTTAGATCACTGTGTGCCTAGGTTACAAGGTCAGAGCTCCAAGAAAAAAAAAGGTTAAAATTATAAATTTTTATAATATATATACTTTACCACATGTTCAAAAATAGTATTTTTTTTAAAAAGGTAACAAGTACCTGCAAATAACTGGGCATTTTATTCCTGGCAGAGTCTGGGAAACATGCTTTAATCAAACAGTAATACGCAGCAAACACAAATGTTTATACTAATGAGATAAAGACAGTAAATAGCCCCACTTCACTTTGGGTGACAAACTTTTGTGCAAGAAGTTATAGTGGTAGACTTTACTGTCACATCAAATCGATTAATGCTCAAAATGGACACTTTGTCTATTGATCTTTAAGCTATTTTCTACTAACCTTCGGTCCCTGTTATTTCTGAATTCTTTTACCATTTCATTGTTCTTCTAGTCTTTTTAAAAAATATATTTTTTAATTAATTTCAAAGAGGATGGGAAAGGGGGTGCAAAACTGCCCTTCCCTGGAGAATTTTCTCAATACATTGAGATTTTGCCTCCCAGCCATTGTCAGTTTGGCTCAGACTCACAAAAATTCTCTATAGATTTGCATGTTTCTTACATTGACATAATCCAAACCAAGTGCAAAGAGGAGCTCGTGTGTGTGTGTGTGTGTGTGTGTGTGTGTGTGTGTGTGTGTGTGAGAGAGAGAGAGAGAGAGAGAGGAGGGGGGAGGGGGGGGGGAGAGACAACCTGGCAAAATCCTCAAGTCCCTTTTAAGGAACAGATAAGGAATAAAAATCTAAAAGAAACCACATTAGAAATGCAGAGAGGTCTGCACAACAAGCTTTTTCATTCTCAAACCCAAACCAGCCAAGGGGAGAAGACAAATGCACTGCCCACCTGTGCCCAAGTCTGCTCCTGCCCCTGGGAGGCACCGCCCTGGCACAGGTTTGCAGGGGAAATGAGAGGGCTGCGGGAGAGAAGGGCCACGCGTGGCCTACACACCGCAGCCGTGCAAGCCCCATGTTGAACAACGCACCTCTTCACTCCAGTAAACCCAGTGTTGTTTTGTCACTTGATTGCCTAATGTGTCCCCTCTGTTGCGGGGAGGTTGGAGGAGGCAGAAAGGGCCTGCAGCCCCTGGGCGGATGGGTGTCCCGGCGCTGTGGCTCCCGGAGCTGCTTCCCCTGCGGCAACTGGCGGTGTCCCGTCTCCCACCGCCTCAGAGTGATGGCAGCTGTCCTCCTCCTCCTCCCCACCTTCCTCACGGTCCTCAGAGGCCTGCTCCACCTCCACTCCTGGTCCTTGTGCCCGCTTTGGTGCTAGCCTGTAGGCCTTAGGCCCCACATGCTGGGTGCGGGGTGTGGGAGGAGCTGGGGGCCACCGCCGGCTAATGGGCGGAGTGGCGAGGCTGCGCCTCCGCCAGGAGAACCTCTGATGGGCCCAGTGGGCTGCGCGGCGGCCCATGGCCCCCGAGGAGAGCAGGGAAGCCGAAGGCACCTGTGTGCTGGAGGCCCACAGGGTCAGGTGCAGAGAGGAGGCACGTGGGCGGCGGCGGCACGTGGGCGGCACGTGGGCGGCACGTGGGCGGCACGTGGGCGGCACGTGGGCGGCACGTGGGCGGCACGTGGGCGGCACGTGGGCGGCGGCGGCACGTGGGCGGCATCTGGTCTGACAAAATTCGGACCAGGCGCCTGGCCGGCCCGCCCGGGGGGCTTTCACGGGGCTGTGCTCAGTGGGCTCCTCTCTCCCTGTTCATTCTGGCCTTCCAGTTTCTCCTTTTTCCGTGGATGTGTATCCGCTCTGCCTTGGAAACGACTTCTTGCCGCTCACTGGGAAGCTGTAGCAGGAGGCCTACTATGTAATCTTCTTTCCAAAATAGTTTGCCTTGAATCTAACCACGAGCAAACAGACAAATCCAGACTGTGGGACAACTTATAAGACAACTGTCTTAGACATATAAAAAAAATGCCAGTGTCAAAAAAGATTTTTTAAAAGGTTAGGAAAAAATTTTAGACTAAAAAAAACAAAGACATGACATGTAATGCCTGATCTTTGAGTGGATCCTAGATCAAAGCAAAACAGATTTAAAGAATATTATTGGAGGGGGAAAAGAATATTACTGGCTTTGGCCACGTTGGAGTAACTGGGACCAATTTAACCTCCTGTGTAAAACGATTTAAAAGCCAGACAAAATATATGTAACAAAAGTTTTCAAGGAATTTGACCTCATGCAATGGAGACCAGGGACCCTAAGACATAGGAAGTAAATGAAGTGAGACCTATGATTGCCCTAGCTTATGGCTCTGAGTTTCCAGGCCATGATGGAACTAAGAGCCAGGGAAAACCAAGGTGACTAGACTTTACAAAGCAGAATACTAGGAAGCAAAGAAGTGCCCTGACAAGAACTCTGGGGATATACAGAGAGATCTCTTAAGTGTTCCACAAAGTACTAGTCAGCACATGTGTATGAAGAATTGCTTATTCCTAAAAGCCAGAGATCTAAATGCAAAAGACACTGGATAGGGTTAATGGCAGATTAGACACTGCAGAAGAAAGATACGTGAATTTATTTATTTTTTATTTTTTTAATATTTTTTATTGATTTTGTACAGAGAGGAAGGGAGAGAGATAGAGAGTTAGAAACATCGATGAGAGAGAGAGTCATTGATCAGCCGCCTCTGCACACCCCCTACTGGGGATATGCCCGCAAACAAGGTACATGCCCTTGACCGGAATCGAACCCGGGACCCTTCAGTCCCCAAGCTGACGCTCTATCCATTGAGCCAAACCGGTTTCGGCAGATACATGAATTTAAAGCATAGCAATAGAAAGGAAACAAAATGAAATGCATGGAAAAACAACAAAAATGAACAACTGTGAGAATTCAGTAAACTAGGATATGCAACGTGGCTGATACACAGCACACATTTGCCACATATTCCCTTTCTCTGTTCTTTCCTTAACCTGAATTCAACTTTGCACCAGGCCCCGCCCCACCGCCCTCCCTTTCAGCAACCACTGGGGAAGGCCTGTTTTCTCCACCTCCACCTGCTCTGAAGTGGTCAGAGTTCAAAGCGCTAAGTGGTCAGAGAGGGAAAGGCCAGCAGCAAGAAGGACATCTCCATTCAGCTGTCTCTTAAGGCTGAACTGCCCCATTGAGAGGATGAAGGTCTTTGTGGCTGCCCTCTTCCTCCTCATCCTCGCCACTGTTTCTACTTTCGAAGGCCAGCCAAGTGAGTCCACCTGCCCCTGTAGGGCCACCATGAATGAGCAAGGGGACTGGGCAGCTGGCAGCGAGGGGACCCCTAGAGCTCTGTCAGATCTCTGTCATCATCCCTGGGGCCTCTCCCCCTCCTGCATGCTCAGCCGCTATCTTGAAACTCTCCCCTTTGTAAGCAGCTGGGCTATAGTCCGGATCCTGCTGGGGTTGGGCAGTTCCGGGAAGCTGGGTCAAGGTTATGTCAGAAGTCCAAGGGGTGAGCCTTTAGGAAGAGAAGCCAAAAAAGTAACAGAAGAGACAACAATAAATGTATGTGATGAAGAGGCAGGCACAAGGCAAGTGGATGAGAACAGCCTGCTTGCTCTCTGGGAGAGCAGACGAAGGGTGTTGGGCAGGTGGGCTGAGCAAAGTTTGGGGCTAAGCTCAGAAATGAAGAGTCTGAACCTAGACGCCCCTTCCTGGCACAGACTCCTGGGACTGTCATGCAGCCAAAAGGAGTCCCAATGGGATGCCCACCCAAGTGTGCCATTTGGGGTTTCATGTCCCCCATCTCCACCCCCAAGCCTAGATCTAAAAAAAGTCGGTGGGAAAGAGGAGAGGGGTTAATAGGTTTGGAGCTACAGAATGCTTGGGGACTATGGAGAACAAGATGTGTTTTGCCTTGCTTTACCCCTGCTTCTTCCATCATTTACGAGGACCTGGTGACAGGGAAGGGACCAATCACTCAGTCCTTCCACATCCCTGCCTTCCTCTGCCCCAGCCCTTTCCTCCCTCGGCTGCCCTTGGCTTGCAGTTGAGCCCGGCTCTGCCTGTGTAAATATTTGGAGGAGCAAGGGTCGTGCACACCATACAATCTGCCCCCACGCTCTCAGGATGCCTTGATCTAGGACATGAGAGCCACTGTATGCAGAGGTGCTTATGGTTGGGATAGCAATGCCCTCTGGGAGGTCCAGCAGACCCGTGCGATGGGTTCAGGCTTCGAGAAAGAGAAAATGGCTCACCTAAAACATGAGTCAGCCACATGGTGCCTTGCCACCAGCTGTGCTCGGGCCCTGCGAAGAGGTGGCATTGCCATCAGAGAGTGAAGTGCAGTGGACAGGAGATGGAGGTCCTGGGCTCCCTCCCTGCCGCCTCGGCTCAGCTTTCAATGTGATTCCCTCAGGAAGCCCTGCGGCGGTGAACCTTTCCGCCAGCTGCTGCCTCAAGTACAAGTATGAGAAGAAAGTACTTCCCAGGAAACAGGTGGTGGGATACAGAAAGGCCCTCAACTGCAACCTGCCAGCAATCATGTAAGTATTTCTCTACAGACGTTTCTGTGGAAAAGGAAGGGGAGCCAGGGAGTGGAAGGAATGCACAAGACCAGTAAGTCCCCATACTAGAAGGAGGACAGTAGTGGTTAAGGGCTTTGAATCTCACAGGACAGGCCTGGGTTTAATTCTTGATGTTGCTACTTATGGCTGTGGGACCCAATAAACAGTGCTCATAATGAAACCCAAGCCTGAGGGTCTAGGCTGGGGAAGAGGCTACAAGTAGGTTGATGGGGTCTAGAGGCTGGAGAGGGAGACCCTCTAATGGGGCCTAGACAGGGAGGCCTAGGTTAGCCCTGTGTAAGCTAGAAGTGGGGGGTTGTGGACTGGACCCCCCACTCTACACTATGGCCCATGGCAATCTAACTTTGTCTCTACAGCCTCGTCACCAACAAGAATAAAGAGGTCTGCACCAATCCCAGCAAAGAGTGGGTCCAAAATTACATCAATGATCCCAAGCTGCCTTTGCTGCCCCCGGTTAAATCCATCTGATCATAGAAAGCCTAGCCCAGCTTCTCAGCTCCTCACGACAGACAAGCCTCGGTGGGAGCCCAGGTTCAGGAAAGAAAGGTGTGACCCTATGAAAAACAAGGGCAGCTTGTGGTCTGAATGACACTCACATTCAGAGAAATGAGCCAGTGATCAAAAAAAAAATTTTTTTTTAATACAAGTATTTTTAATATCTTCTCAATCTCTGGAGGAAATGCCAAAGTTAAGGGAGGTGAGCAGGCATACATTCTTAATACACAGAAAAACGCCTTCCACATCTTTCTCCTCGCTTACAGTCTCTCCCCTAACACCAATACAACAGCCATTCTCATAACTGCCAACCAGCCTGACCATCTCTGGACTCATACTCATTCAGAGCTCCACAGAACTCTTGACTTTGCTTGTCCACCTTTATCCTATTTCTAGATCTCTTCCCCTCTCCCGTCTTTTTTTTTTTTTTTAAACATAATTTCTGGGAACATTTGAGATCTTGTGTCCCTGCATATGTCATCAGTTTGGCTTTGGCTTAAATAAACATTTACAAAACCTTTCATGAAACAAAAGGAATAACTTTTTCTTTGCAAGCCATGGTGGAAATATCACATGCTAATGATCTTTATCTTTTTTTTCTTAATAGTCACCTGAAATATGTTTATTGATTTTTAGAGAGGGTGGGGGAGAAAGAAAACAACAACAGTGACATCCAGCTACAAGCTAAGTATGTGCTCTGACCAGGAATTGAACCCACAAACTTTCAGTGCATAGGACAATGCTCTAATCAACTGAGCTGCTAGCCCAGGGCTGATCTTTGACACTTTTGCTGAGGTTTTACCAGCTCCCTAAGATTTGGTCTCCCATCAGGTGGCATGGATACAGAGAATGTTAAAACAAAAAAAGAGGTGAGACTCTCTAGCTCCTATACTAAGCTTTTTGGGACAGGAAAAGGGCATTAGACTAAGTTAAGGGTAAAAATCTTGTTGCAAAACTCAACCATTCAATAAAGAAAATTTCCTTTAATCCTAACTTCATTCCTGACTTCCTTTTGCTAGGGTGGGGAAAACTTAATCTAGTAGTTGTTTTAGTAGTTTCTCAACATTCTGATGTGGTACATCTACACAATGGAATACTATGCTATGGTAAAAAAGAAGGAACTTTCACCATTTGCAACAGCATGGATGGAACTGGAGAGCATTATGCTAAGTGAAATAAGCCAGTCAGAGAATGATAAATCATGTGATCATGATCTCACTCATTTGTGGAATATAATGAACAACATAAACTAATGCACAAAAATAGATCCAGAGACAGAGAAGCATCGATCAGACCATCAAACCTCAGAGGGAAGGCAGGAGAGGATGGGGGCAAGAGGGATAGATCAGCCAAAGGACTGGTATGCATGCATATAAGCCTAAACAATGGACACAGACATCAGGGGGGTGTGGGCATGAGTGTGTGTGGGGGGGTGTGCAATGGGGTAGTAAGGACACATGAAATACCTTAATCAATAAAGGGAGAGGAAAAAAAAACATTCTGAGCATTTTGTTAAGGTTGGGGAGCTGGAGAATTTATACGGCACCAAGACCTGACATACATACTCAATATTCCCCTCTTGCTGCCTCTCTGTCTCCAGCTCAACAGCTGGAAGGTGACTCAGGAAAAGAGTCAACATTCCCCCAGAATGCTGTTGTGGAGATGAAACAAATATCAGGCAATTAAATATATGTAATTAACAAAAACAAATTCAGGTAAAGTTCTGAAAACTAGCCATGATTTGGATTCTGGTAAATTGACTCATAACTCCTTCTAGTGGCCTCCAATGGTAATACGTGAGCCTGTCACCCCACCCCAACTGATGCCCCAGACCACAGCTAGCCAATGAGAACCTCCCTCAGAGAGATGAAATCTGGACCAAAGAAACACATAAGGTTGCTGTTGGAGCAGCATCCCAATGGAAGAAGTTTAGGAACTCTTGCACTGAAGTCCCTGGAGCTGCTGCATTTCCTGTCCCCCACAAAGAGTTGGGAGTTTAGCTAGTCTCTCAGTTCCATGAGATGTCCCAGCATTCGTTCCATTCTTTTGTGTCTTTTTTTTTTTTTTTTTTTTTCATTCCTAAAGAGCCAAGTGGCATTTAACACCTCTGGAATAACTTTTGGTTGGCTGAAGTTAATTCTGGTTTATGTCTGGTAACGTATACATACCACTTTATACAGTGTTAAGTGTACAAGTCAGTGGGACTAAGTACAGTCACAGTGTTGTGCAACCATCACCACTATCCATCTCCCGGAACTTTTCCATCTTCCCAAACTGAATCTCTGTACCCATTAAACAATAATGCCCCACGCCTCCCTTCCCCAGCCCCTAGTAACCATTATTCTTTCTTTCTCTCTGAACTCAACTACTCTAGTTACCTCATATAAGTTGAATCCTATAGTATTTGTCCTTTTGTGTCTGGCTTATTTCATTTAGCCTATGTCTTTAAGATTCATCCATGTTACTTCATGAGTCCGAATTTTATTCCTTTTTAAAATTTAATAACTTTCCATCTAGTTTTTCTATTCATCCATCCATGGAAAATGGGGTAACCCCCTTTTTAATTTTTACATTAGTCAGAGTTAGTTGGTTTCTGCTAACCTGTGCCAAAAGCACTTTAACATGTACAATGACACATCAACCAGTGTTTTTCCTGCCCTTGTCCCTCCACAGGGGGCCGGTGCTACATGCTTTCGACCTTACTGGGCTGTGAGCTCTTGTTCCTTGATCCAGAAATAGCCACTGAATTTGACCCAGAAAGGTCATTGTGACTTTGAGGAGTGGTCTCAGCGGGAAGTCGTGATATAAACCCAAGCAGTGGGTGGGAGACAGAATGGGAGCTGTGAACGTGGGGCCTAGGACTCTACCAGACAAATCTTCTAAAAATGTTTTTGTGAAGAAAAGCAAAATTTAGGATAAGAGCTAGAAGTAGGTATGGGTTCAGGGGAGGATTGTTAAAGATGTGAGGATTTAGAGCATGTTTGTGTGTTAGCTTCAGTTTTCTTTTCTATAAAATGGAAGCCAAAGAACCCAGGATTGCAGGTTCTTAGGAGAATCACACCAGCTAACAGATGTCAAGTGCCCACTGCAGTGCCTGGCTCACAGTGAAGACTCAGCACTGATGGGCTCCCCTCTCAGAGGAAGGAATCTTGAACCCAGCAGGTTTTCACTGGTAAAGGCAGGGTGACAGTCTTTAGTTCCCACATTGCCGATTATAACAGAGGAGAAGAAGCTGATAGGAAAGGAACCATGTTAATGGCAAGATCAAGAATAAAAGCTATAAACAAATATTTAAAATAATTGAGAGCTCAAGAGACTTACAAACACAGGCAGGTTTTGTAGGGGCGTCGAAAATTGGAGCAAACATCAGGGATAGGGCGAGTTCCTAATTTTGGCGGCAGTGGCCTGAGGTCAACTGTAGTTGCTGTGAAGGATGCCACAGGATTGACTAAAATGCTAACAAGAAAGTCTGTGGCCTTTCCGGCCAGATGAACCGAGGGAAGGAGCCTGAAGAAATAGTGGCTACTGGAGAGAGAGCGAGAAAACTCCAAAAAAATTTTTCTTTTTAATCAGCAGAAGGGAATCCAAAATTCTTTCTATAAACTTAAGCCAACTTTCTAGTCCTGACATCCCTAAAACATACATACTTGGAGAAAACTGAAAGCAGTTTGCAGCTAAAACTTAAAGAACTAAACTAAGATCTGATCTCCATCGACTGCAGACATGAAAGTTTGCAGTTTGAACTGGCCATAGGATTGGCTAAAATGCTGACTCCCTGGTGAGAGAGGTCCTAGGTCCTGTACTGTAGGCCCTGGGTTCAATTCCTGGTCAAGGGCATATTCCTGGGTTGATCCCTGGGCTCTGACCGGGGGCTATACGGAAAGCAACCAATCCACATGCCTCGAATCAATGTCTCTCTCCCCTTTCTTCCCTCCCTTCCTCTGTGAAAATCAATGGGGAAAATATCCCTGGGTGAAGATTAAATAAACAACTAAAAGAACAGCAAGAAGCTGCATAACCTTTTCCAATCTAGTCTCTATATACTTTGCATCCCTCTGTCGAGACAGTCATAGAGGTCTGTCCAGGTCCAAGCTCCAAGGACATATTCCCCATCTCCTGATGGAGGAAACATCCGAGAACTAACAGACATGTTTTTAAGTCACCACATCTGTAGAATAGGAAGAATCATACCCATGTCTATTCTCAGGAGAGCTGATGTAAGGCTTAAATAACATTACCCTGTATATTAGAACTCCAGCTCTATGTGACCGCAGGCAATTTGATCAACCTCGCTGTGCCCCAGTGCCCTTGCCAACACAATGGAACTAAAAATTGTACCCCCACCATACAGCTGTTGTTTAGATAATTCATTTAAAGCATTTAGCATAATGCCTGCCACATAGTAAATTAAAGCTCAATAAATTTCGACTTGTTTTTACTAACCGCTATTTGAGTTATTGCTAACATCAAGAGTCTTCAATGACTTCAACACAGAGGAGGAGAAGGGAGGGGGGGATAATGAGAATTTCACACGAGAGCTGATGGTTGTCAGCCAATTCTCAGGCAGGAAGTTATGAGGAAGGTCACAGAACTAGTCCTCATCCCATCCTACCTATTATCCTCTGCCTCCGAGGTGAGTGCTGCCAAAGGATGCTGGCTAGAGATTGACAAGGCTGAGTCTTTGCTCAAGCAAATAGCGAACCCTAGGGGCCCCACTGAGCACAGCCCCACAGAATTTTGGAAAAGAAGATGCCCAAAGCCAGACAGGACAGCAATACCAGTCACATCTGCCTGGGGAACATTTAGAATCTGGGGTCTAAACTCCTGGAAAGCAATGTCAATAGCAAGGCCAGTTCTTGGTCTTTAAGGAAGTTTGGGGAACCATTAAAAAACTATGATTTTGTAACTAAAATAGGACCAGAAGCCCAGTGGTATATATATGCCCTGCAAAATGGTATATATATGCCCTTCCT